TTCCAGCTCTGTCTTAACCCTGAGACTCACTGTCTTTCTGGCACACACAGCAAAGGGGTAGTTACCATTCCCATCCTCCCTTTTTCCTTCACAATGCCCAGCCTCCTCTAACACAGCAAACCCCAAACCCACAGGAGCACCCACCCATGGCAGCACCAAATAGAGGATGGCAGAGCTGGCAAAACTTGGAGGACAGCTGGGGACCCCTGACACTTGTTACTGCCCACCTCTGCCACCTCCCACCACACAACAACTGTCCAAGAGGATGGGTGAAGGGAGGGTGTGAATTGGCAGTTCTGGGTGCGCCAGGCTTCATACCATAAGGCCCAAGAACCATCAAGACTGAAGGGACTGACACTGGAGGGACCATCTGGCTCCTGGCCTCTTGTTGAGGGTCTTGGCTTGCTCCAGATGTGGGCCAGGCTCATGGCCACATGACCAGTCAATGCCAGAGTGAGAACCTCACTAAGCCCCTGCAATCCAGTCTAGCACTCTTGTCACTGCATCAGAATGATTATCTGAACTGCCAGACTCCACTGAGGAGGGCAGTGTGGAGCAGCAGGGAGACCGTAGAACTTGGGACTATTATAATGAATCCTGCCTCTACTATTTATTTGCTGGGTGGCATGAGACAAGTCATGTAACTTCTCTGAGCCTCAATTTTATCATCTGTAAAATGGGTATAATAATAATATTTATCTTACTTGGTTATTGTGGGGAGTCAATAAAATGACGGCTCTACAGTGGTTAGTATGTAATGAGCTCTCAGTGAATGCCAGCGGTTATTTAATACTCCTGCTTCCTCTGTGCTTGCCACTCTGTCAGATCTATGGCAAGGGTATAATAAACATTCACTGAGCCGATGTGGCAAGGATGAGGGCCATAGGGGATGGCTTCCACTTCCCAGTTTCTCTTGTTTAGCCCGAGAGGCTGAAGGAACAGCCAGTAACCCAAGGGAAAGGGCAGGTGCTGGCTTATGCCCATCTCCCTACATGAGGCATCTCCACTTGTGCCACCAGCTCTCCGAACAAGCTCAGCTCAGCGCCTTGCTCAGGAAGTTCTGCTGGTTCTCTGCTTTCAGGAGCTGATGATTGTCTGCTGTGATAGTCAGCTAGGGATGGAGTTCCCAGTGGAGGAGGGAGTGTGGTTACTCCAGCAATGGCAGAGGCCAAGCATCTGTGGCATATTCACAGTCTTCCATCTGCCCCAACACTATCCCCAATCTGTGACTTAAATGGGGGTCCCACAGCCTTGACCCCACTACTGAGCACATCAAATCCTTAGAGACCCTTCCTTCTTCTTCTCCCACTTAAAAATCTCTCCAACCTCATTCCCTTCACTTTCCAACATCATCAGTTGCCTCAGGATGTAGCAGAAAGCAGGTAGGTTTGGAGCTGCCCACCAGGTCACTTCTAAGCTGAAGGCAAGTTACTTGCCCTCTTTGTGTGCTTGCCTCCTTATCTATAAAATGGCCATAATTCCTATCTTCCACGACTCTTATTAGAAATAAAAGTGTTGCCAGTCATGGTGGCTCACTCCCATAATCCCAGCACTTTGGGAGGGGGAGGCAGGAGGATTGCTTGAAGCTAGGAGCTCAAAACCAACCTGGTTAACACAGTAAGACCCCATCTCTACAAAGTATAAAAAATAAAAATGTAGCTGGGAGTGGTGGTGCACACCTCTAGTCCCAGCTACTCAGGAGGCTAAGGCAGGAGGATCGCCTGAGCCCAGAATGTCCAGGCTGCAGCAAGCTGTGATTGTGCCACTATACTCCAAACTGGGTGACAGAGTGAGACTCCGTCTCTAAATAAATAAATGGAAAAATAAAAAAAAGAGAGAAAAAGAAATACAAGTGTTGAAATAGCAGGGCCTCTCCAGGGAGGCCAGTAGACACTGCCTAGAAGCAGTGATTCCCATGTTTTTATGTATGGGGACACCAGGGCTCAGAAATGGTGACATATTGGCTAAAGGTCACATGGCAAATGCACTGTCAGACCCCACGAGTCCCTGCCAACGTATCTTAGAACGTTTTGCCCCTTCAGATGAGAGTTTCCTTCTCTAGCCTACTTATTGTGTTTTCCATTTTCTCAACTGGGCTCCAACCCCACTCCCCACTCCCCATCCCCTGAAGCCTTCTCTTAAGGGGAGCACACTGGGCTGAGGTTAGTGTTTGTTAAAGACAGGCATGGAGGAGCATCCAGGGCTGATGTGGAGAGGACAGCGGGCAGCGTGGGGCTGGGGCTGCGGCAGGGTGGGCTCCGGGCAGTTCCTCCAAATCTCCCGGTCTGCCTTCGCCAGCCCTGGTTGTCTGAGAAATCTCATTTTGCTAGTGATCTGATTCATGGGCCTGGCTCCCTGGTGCTCCCTGAGCAACTCTCTGTCAATAACTATTCTTTACAAGGTCCCTCGATTTGTTTTCGGGGTTGAAGACAAATTTTTAAAGAGGAGTGCAAGGACTGAGGCCATTCCAGAGGGGCTGTTAACTTAATGTCCTGCTGTATTCCCACCAAGCCGGCTCCCGCTTGAACGCCACGAGGGTCAGGAGTTGACGTTTTTTTGCAATTGCTTCTGAATTCTCGCATTTGGACAGGGGGTGAGGGATGAGGAGAGAGGGACACAAATTATAGGACAGGGCGGCAGGCATGGCTCTGGCTCTGTTCCAAGTTTGTTGTGTGCCTTTGAGCCAACTGCTTCTCCTCTCTAGGTCCTCGTCTCCCTGTTTGTGAAACCCTTGGTGCCTGCAAACAGCATTCCACTTTCCTGCTTGGGGTGGCCTGGTGTCCGAAGTTTATCTGGGAAAGAGATGTCTGCAGCCAAGCAGCTTATGTCTCCTCCTCATCGTCCCCGTGTGGGATGTACAGTTGGCGAATTCTGCAGCCGAATACCAGTTTGCTCCCAGCTCTCTGTACCTACTGCTCTGGCTCAGGGCCTCATACTTTCTGCTGCAGCATCCTCTTAATGGGTCCCCTTTCCCCTCCATCCTTCCTTCCTTCACAAGAGCGAAACCTCAAGTCTGAGCCTGATTCCTGTTCTTGCTGGTCCCATCACCCTCTCTGGCCTCCTCACCTTTGCATGTGTGTTTTCTGTGCTTCCCCTCTCACCAGGGACTCGTGTTCCAGGCATAGGGAAAGCAAGTGCAAAGTCAGGCAGCAAAACGCAGGGTGTGGAGTCTGTAGCCTCTGTCCTCCTTACAGGACTGTCCCTGGCCTTATCCTCAGCAAGCTCAGCTTTGGTTGTCTTCTCCTGTCCTCCTTTGTGCCCTGTCAACCTAGGGTAAAGGTCTGCCATCATCCCAGATGATAGTGGGCAGCTGACTTGTGCATCTTCCCTATGGGTTTGGGGGTTCCTTGAGGACAGATCCACAGTTTTGCTTCCCAGACTCCCCACCAGGGTCCAGGGCATAGGCGCTTAATGCATTGAGGAAACAAATGGCTCCATGTTCCAAGTTTCACACCAGCAACTTACCCCACCTGGCACACATCCCCAACCTAGTGTATTCTTCCTCGACTCACATCCCTGCCCTCTTCATCTCTTATAAGAACTCCAAGGGAATGAGGTGATGAACCTCAAGTAAGGTGGTAGACTGAGCAAATCCCTCAATACGGGATAATGTGAAAACCATTTAGAGTTTGCATTTGGACTTAATTTGGTAGGCAATCATTTGTGTAGCACTTGCTGATTCCAGGCACCAGGTTAAGCACAAGAGGGTTAAAAAATGAATGAGACCCCCATACCCTTCCAGGAGCATGTAGTCAGGGCAATGTTTGAATGGCAGGTATCTGTTGTTCTGGGAACTCAAGGAGAGCCCCCTGCCAGGCTCCCCTGTGGTTCTGCTTTAGGCTCAGCTTTCTGTTAGCTCCTTACTTGCTGCTGAGCTGCACCCTTTCTTTGTTGCCAAACGTATCTTGGGCACAGCTGGTCAGTCTCTAGTCTTTCTTTCAGACCTATGCCTTGCCTGAAAATTAAGACCTGGTTGTGGCGAAGTCCATTCATTGATACCCTCTATGCACAGCTGTCTGTACTAGGCATGCTGTCTGCGGGAGCTGCGCAGAGTGCTCTCCATACATGATCCAATTTAATCCTCACAACCACCCTGGGCTGCGCCATCAGCTGAGCAGATGATTGTGGGAGGCCAGGCTTCCTTCCATAGTGAGCAACAGCATGTCTGGGCAGGTGCCAGTGTAGCCCCAGTTCTGCTGCTGGCTGCTTCTGGGACACATGCTGGTTACTGTTCCTTTCCTTTCCAAAAGTGACTGCCAGAGCCACCTGTCTATGGGCACTGGATGCTGGCCAGGTAGCCTTGGCTGAGCTCCTGCCCCACTCACGCCTGAGCTCCTGTGCCCCCTAGGTTGCTGCCTGTGCTGGGGTGTGGGCTCCCAGAGCCTCATGAGGGGCTGCATGCACACTCACGGGTCAAGTGTGGCATGAGATGCAGCTAGCCCATGGCCCACTGGTGGGGAGGGGCACCCCAACATGCATGTGCTCTCTCCTGTCTGGTTTCTAACATGTAGATCCCCAGGCTTTCTCCATCAACCCCAAGGGGGAGAGAAGGGAGGAGAGGTGGTTACAGGGAGGGCCACCTCAGAGGTGGGCAGTGAATGAAGCTGGAGTAACTCAGGTGGGCACACCAACCCTCTCACCTCTCTCCTTATTTTTCTGTGCCCCCCAGAAGATCTTTCTCTGCAGTTCCAAGGCCTGCCCTTCCCTCCCCTGAGCCAATCAGGACAGAGCCTTAGAGGAGGCACCTCTTTATAAGGGCACATTTGTGGGTCAGCGGATTCTTCATCCCTTGACCTGGGCATCCCAAAACACCAGAGGGTCTTAAGGGACCTGCATGTTAGGAGAGGAAGAGCAGGACCACAGCCTGGTCTAGCCGAGTTTTGGTCTCATGTCATGTAGTGTGCCCACAGTGTGCGAATGTGTGTGCGTGCATGTGTGGACTTGTGTGTGTGTGTGTGTTTGCCCATGCACACAAGGAAGATACAGAGCCAGCCACCGTGTACTGTTTGTTCATGGGAGCTGCTGCCCCCACCTCCAGTCTGACCACTTCCATTTATTTAAGAAAAATCTGACACAGTGGTGGGTAGAACCCGAGAGAAAAATGGCTGTGGGATGGGGTAGGGGCGACACTGGCTCCCTTCTGCGTTTGCCCACCCTAAAGTCCCTCACAGCATTCCCCGGTGCCCTCTACTCCCCTCCTGGGTTCCGTCTTGTGGGGGATAGGTGGCTGCCTGCCCTGTGCTGCAGAGGGAAGGCGCGGTCAGCAGGGTGAGGGGTGGCTAAGGCGTAGTAGTGTTGACCTTGCTGTGGGGGAAGGGGAAGGCAAGGAGGTCCCCAGGCCTCTGGCTCTGGGGTGTGATTTGGCTAGAGATGGATCCAGGACTCTTTCCCCTTTAGGTCCCTGCCCAAAGCCCTTGGGGCAGGGGTGGGAGTCCTGAGAACTCAGGAAGGTGCCTGGCTTGGCACCAGACCTCTCTGTAGAGTCAGCTCCCAGGTCCTGGGAGGCACGCGAATGCCAGCAGATGCTACAGCTGTCCCCCTATTTCATCCACAGATATTTCATCCACAGCAAGATCCTTGGCAGGGCAGGCAGCCGCCACCTCCCCACCCTGCAGGACAGAAATCCCTGAATATTAGTTTGAGGAAAGTCTTTGTGCAGCCTGTGACACAAGACCCCCACAGAACCCCCTGCACAGGGGGACGACAGGGGGGACGGGAGGCGGGGCCGGGACACAGCGTGGGCCCACCTGACCCCAAGCTGGACCTCCTTGCCTCACTCTTGGGGCAGGGAGTTGCTTAAGATGGGAGGAGATTTGGAAAGGGTAGAACAGAGGCTGGGGTTGCTTTCCTCCTTGCGAGCCACTGGAGGAAGAGCCCTCCACCTGCAGGGGGCAGAAGAGGGTAACGGTGTGAGGCGAGGGGAGGCCCAGACACTGAGGCGGCCCGACCCGGACCGAGCCAAGCTACAGGGGCAGGGAGTACAAAATCAATTCAGCCGCCCAGAGTCCGTGTGAACCGGGGGTCCCGGCTGTGTCCTACCCCGAGCTGACCCGATGGGGGAGTCCCTGCTACTCCGGTTGGCGCCTCTAGGCAATCTCTTTGATTCTGCGCATGTAATTGTGCAGGTCCGGGGGTGCAGTGGGCCGCGTGGTGCCCGCCACATCCGGGCAGCCCCAACCCAGGTCCTCTTCCTCCTCCTCGTCCTCTTCGCCGGCGGGCACCGAGTCATAGGCCAGCTCCTCTGACGGCAGCGTGGTGAAGGTGGTGAACTTGACCCGCTTGCGCTTGGAGGTGGGTGAGCTGGCTGGGTCCTCGGCTTGGTCCCGGGCTGAGCCGCCCGAGGAGCCGTCGCCCCGGCCGTGCACCTGGCTCTGGACGCTGGTCTGAGAGCTGCCGCTGCTGTGGTGGTCGCCGTGGCAGCAGGCGGGCACGGTTTCCAGCGGGTTGCCTGCCGGCGGCGAGAGCTCCCCTTGCACTCGCAGCGGCTGCCCGTTGCCCAGGAACACCCAGTGGTGAGAGTGGTCCATGCTGGTCTGGCCCTCGGGCGGGATGCGTTTGTGCCGGTAGCGCAGCACGAAAACGATGCAGTTGATGAGGAAGACGAGGATGGCGAGGCAAAAGACGCCCAGCAGCGCGTACATGCCAATCTCCAGGTCGGTCAGACCCCGTGGCATCTGCAGGAAGCCGGTGGGCAGCGGCAGGAAGTCTTCTGTGGGTGGCACGACGGGGCTGGCGGTGCCCGGGCCTGGGGCCTCCGGTGCTGGTAGCGCAGAGCCTGGCGGGCCAGCTCCCCGGGACTCGTCCTCGCCCCCGCCAGGCCCTGGTTGGCTGGGGCCCGGGTAGTCATAAGTGGGGTCCTCCTCGTCCCTCCCAAAGTGCACCCGCAGGCCCACAGGGGTCGTGGCCAGCACACTCTTGCGTCTGGTTTTCTGGCAGCTCTCAGCGATGGTTAGCTCTGCGCGGAGCAGCTCCCCTGCTCCCTCGGCCTCAGCCACTACCAGAGGGAAGGCCCGGTCCTGGGTCACAGTGGCCACACGCTCATCCAGGCTGCTCACTAGCAGACCGTAGTCTCGGGGACTGTAGAGAGAGAGTGGGGCTGTGGTGCCATCACTGTAGGAGAGCCAAAGGCTCAGTAGGGCTTCCTGGAGGACGAGGAGAAGGAGGGATCAGGAGTCAAAGAGCTTGTTTAGCTGGCTACCTGCTAGATCCTGGGCTCTGTAGGGGTGGGGACCACAGGTCTCTGGCTCCCTGCTGTATTCTCAGCACTGCAACTGTGCCTGGCCTGTGGCGGGCACTAAGAACTATTGCTCAAGTGAGAGTCCCCCTTACAGGGTGTGGGGAGGGTAAATCCCAGACCATGGCATCCAGGCCTCATACCGCTCTGAGGATGCCCTTGTCCACTTCACCCCTCTCCCCTGGATGAGCTGAAGGTAAGTTTTGCCTTGGGTCTGATTCAAGTCCCTTCTGCTGCCAGAATAGCTCCGTATCTCCATGCCTGACCTTGGGCTTACCCCCATCAGACAACAAGCTGTTGAGAATACACACCCACTCCCCACTTCTGCCTGTTGGCTAAAACCTTCTGAGAATTGCCCTCGCTCCAGGTGAGGAAGCAGGGTTCAGAGAGAAGTGATTGGCTTGAGGTGATGGAGTGAGTTAGGGACAGAGGACCCCTGTGTCCTGACTCTGGGCTCAGCACTTGATGCTCACCTCCTCACTCCCCAGGACTGACACCTGTCACCTCCTCACTCCCCAGGACTCCCACCTGTCACCTTTCCACTTTTGTCCTGTGGCTATGCCTATGGTGTATACTTGGGGCTCCAGAGATAAGTGAGGGTACTTCCTGGGGGTGATGTGGAGGTGAGAGCCCTCTGTGAATCCAGGAGGGAGACGCTCAGAGGGAACATCTCAGGTGGCAAGAGCAGCAAGCGAGACTTTGCTCTAACCTCCCATGTAGATGCTGTGGCCATGGGGTGGGCAGGTGTGCAGGGCATGGAGGGCAGAGATCGTCCGTATCCTAAAGCCCTAATTTGGGGACTCTTGGTGCTAGGGCAAAGCAGAGCCCCCAGGTCCTCCTTCCGTACCACTAAATCCCTGGCTGGTGGGCCAAGCAGCCAGTTACCTGCTTGAGGAAGCTCAGGGTCTGCTGGGCAGCTGTGGTGGCTAGGATGGTGTGGCTGCTCCCAGGGCTGGGCCGCAGGGAGAGGGCCAGGCTGGCCACCACCTGGGCCTGAAGCTGTGTGATGCTGACCTTCTCCTCCGTCACTGTCAGCAGCGTCTCCCCGAGCACAGCCTCCGTCAGCGGAGACACCACCTGAGGCAGAGCGGGACCAGGATGGGAGAGAGCTAGGAAAGCGCAACCCCCCTGCCCAAGATCACCAGCTGGGGAGAAATCCCAGCACTGCTGCAAGAGGGGCCTGAAGGGTGAGGCAGGCTGGGAGGCAGGACTGTGCAGCTCTGGCTCAGGTCTGCAACCAGGAACCAGTGTCCAGAGGTCATGAGAGTGTTGGGGGCTCATAGGAGTCAGGCAAGAACACAAATGAGAGAGGTGGGCCAATTCTAAGGAAAACAACAACCCCCACACAGTGATAAGCAGCAATTGATGTGCAACCTCAATGTCAGGGAGACAAAAGGGAGTGATGAGGACTGTGGAAAATGAGGGAACTCATTCTCACGTATAGGAGGCACCAATACCAGCTTTCAGCTGATTGTTGCCAGATTCATTTTTTGTGAAACCAGAAATCTATAGGTATTTTTAAAATGAGAAATCTCCCAATTGAAAACACGTTGGATCAATTGCTTTACGAAGAAGATATGTCTGCAGGCAGATTCTAGCCTACAAGTCACAATAGTTTCTTAGGTAGATGATTTCTATCCAGACACCCAATTGTCAGGGTAGAAACAAGTCAGGAAAGGTCAAAGTTGAGTTCCTAGATCACCAAACGCACCTTCCTGGACTCTAGGCTGGTTGACTCTCACCTGCTCCCCCTCTGCTCTCAGGGAGGGGTCTGCTTGAGTCACCCACACTGAGGATTGATAAAGGTTGATACAGCTTGGAGTGAGAACTTTTACCAGGATGAAGCTAAGAGAGCTTGACCTTAGAATTTCAGACAAGGGGGAGGCAGGGAAGAGTGTTCTGGGGCCCAGTTGGGGTTGCGAAAATCTGAGTTCTGCACCCACAGGTAAATAAGGCTCCCAACACTGCCCCTTTGTGCCGGGACAGAGCCCATACCTACCTTAAAGGGGGTAGTGCCTGGCTCCAGTCCTGCCAGTGTGCTGCTGTCCACCATGTGTGCCACTCGGGGGTCACCCACCCGCATGAAGTCACTGACTAGGTCAGTGACCTCCACCAGCCAGTCCGGGCCTAGCATGGTGACCACCTGGTCGGTGCCCTCAGATGATGTCGTGTGGAACTGGGTGAAGACCTGCAGGGTGGCATGCTGGTACTGCAGGGTGCAGCCCCGGCTTGCACTCTGCCGCCGCTCCTCCTCTTCCTCGTCCTCGTCCTCGCTTTCCCGGACTGACCTGGGGTGGGGACATGCCATGCTGAAGGCTTCTCACCTGGACTCTGACTTGCACAGTTCACACCCCTCACCCTTGCCCTGTTGGGTCCTCCCAGCTTCCCAGAAGCTCTGCAAAAGCAAACCTCCTCTTTGGCTCATGCCTTTCATCTCTAAGTTTGGAGCCAGGAGTCCCAGCCTTTTCTCTCCTAGAAAAGTTCCTTCTTGACCCTACCTCCTGTTCCTATCTGCCTCCTCTTGGCTTAAGCCAAGCCTGAGAATAGCTGGTGTCAAATCCTAACAGCAACTGCTGCCTCTTCTTCAGTACTAAGTTTGTGCCTGGCACTGTTTTAAGCTCTAACCTGGAGCAAATGTGATCCTTTTTATAGAATGCCAGAAATCTTAGCTGAATTGTGTTCTGCGGTTGTGAGGAAACTAAGCAGAACCTGTAGGTGATGAACTCGGACATTTAACTGAGAAGATTTCCAAGCAAGGTGTGGAAATTGTGGCCTGGTTTCCTTTTGCTGCTTTTAGTGAAATGTGAGAGGAGAGAGACACATTGATAAACTGTTAAGCAAAAGGGAACCTGGACTTGATGATTCGGGAAATTCTCAGCCTGTGCACATTGCAAAAAAAAAATGCTAAAATTGAGAGGTTTACTGCCAGGAAGGTGTGCTTTGGTGATAAAGCCAAGTGTTTCTCTCTGTAGCTAGTGCTTTGTTGGTGTACTGGAGGATCAATCAACTAGAATATTCATTTACACCAAGAGTTCTTTCACCTGGGTTAATTAATTTATTCCTCACAAAAATCCTATGAGGCAGGTGTTATTGTGCCCATTTTACAGATATGGAGATGGAGGCACAGAGCGGTTACATAAGTAGCCCAAGTTTACACAGCTAGTAAATAGCAGAGGCAGGACTTAAACCAGGCTGTCTGGCTTCAGAGTCCACTGCTACTCAAAGCAGTATCGATATCACCCAGGAGCTGGTGAGAAATGCAGAATTACAGGCTTTACCCCAGACCTGCCCAGTCAGAATCTGCATTTTACTCCGATCCCCAGGTGATTCATGTACACATTAAAGTTTGAGAGGCACTGGTCTATGCCACATTGCTCTTCCAAATCTCTCTGAGTTGAACTCAGCCCATTTCTCACTTGGCTGTCTGTTTCTCTCACCACCTGCTTCTCTCTCCAGCCCTGCCCACCTCCTGCTCTTAGCTGCCCGTCACTTTCTTCTCTTCTCTTCCCTGCTGGGCTTTTCTCTCCAGCAGCTGAGTGGGTGATTGGAATGTGGTGAGTACACACGTATATGCCCCACATATGGGCACCCAGGTGCCTGAGCTTACAAGCCCACAAGGGAGCCTGGGTATGAGTCACAGTGTGCCTGCACTCATGCACTCACTAGTGTGTCCTTGATGTGCCCAGGCTGGGGCACACACGTACAGGTGTGTCTGCTCCATTTTGTCTGCCTGACTGCAGGCAGTCTCTTAACCTGTCTCCCCAGCCAACTCCTTTCAGTTCATTCTTTAAGACTTAGCTCAAGGGTTGTCTCTTCCAGGAAGCCTGCCTTGACTTCGCCTGGAGGAAGAAGCGGTCCTCTCCTTGTGCCACTTGATTCCCTGCACACGGGGCTTCCCACCCATCACCATGTTCTGTGGCATGCACATGCCTTCCTCCCCTGCTGGACTGAGAGACTGGCATGGTCAGGCACTGGCCACAGTCACCCCATCTCAAACACTTGCCAGTGCCTAGCTCACAGTAGCTGGTCAATGAAAGTTTGTTAACTGCACAACCAACCGACAGACTATGTATACCAGGGGCCTTATATCCATATGCAGGTCAGACTGTTGGCCGAGGTTGTATCCACCCATGAGTATCCCAAGTATCTGCCATAGGAGAGGGGCTGTACCTCCGGTCGGGGAGGATGGGTACCCTCCAGCCCTTCACTTGGCTGAGGCGGGCATCTGAGAGCTCAATGTGCAAGGGCAGCTTGGGGACCCAGACTGTCATTTCCAGGGGGGCATTGAGAACGTCGTAGCGGAAGGTGACCCTGGCGTTCATGGACCCTCGAGACTCTTTTCCGCTCACAAACACGTAGTCGCAGCTGCTGGATACCTGGGGGAAGGGAGCAACAGTTGGCACGTCTTGCCGTACAGGTCTTCCTGTGAGGCAATGCAGGGAACTTCAGTCTGACGAGCAGGGCTGGAGGGAAAGTCCTAGGAGGCTGAAGGAGAGGGTGCCAGTGGAAGGAGGCATTGACTCCTCTGGGAGTCTCGGTTTCCATCACTGCTTTTGCTCTTTCTCGAGATCACCTCTTGGTGCCCACTGGGGAAGGCTTTTGTTCCTTAGTAAGGAGCCAACATGCAAATGCTTTTCAGGGGCTGTTCCCGATCTGCCAGAGCTACACTTTGGAGGAGGCTCCAGGGTGAGGGCCTCTCAGGGCTGGCTCCCCTCCCCTAGCAGGACTGGCGGGGCTCTGGAGCCAGGGGTCTGGCAGGTAGAGTCCTCTATGGTGCAGAAAAGGACATGGGCACTTAACTGGGCAGGGAGGACATTGAGGTAGAGGGGATGGGGATGAGGGGCAGGCCCATGTCCTCCACAGCCTCTCTGGCATGGTTGCCCCAGGAGAATGGGCAGGTAGTTAATTTCTGGTGAGGGGGGCTGCTTAACCAGGTGTGGAGATGAGGGAATGGGAGAGGAAAACTCAGGACTAGAGAATCCCAAGCATAGATGGGTGGATGGCTGCCACCAACGAATGTGGCTATTGTAAATGCCTGCCCACCTGGATACCGACTTGCATTCCTAGAGGTTCCCTGGATGGAAACCACATGTCTGCTGAGTACATCTTGGTGGATACCTGTGCCCACTCACAGAGGTGTCACTGCCAGTACTTTAGGGCAAATGCAGATGGCTCTGTGTGTTAAATATGCCCACGCACACACCTGGCAGCCCAGAATGGATGCTGTGTGTACATGCATCTAGCTGCTCATGCTGGCGCATGTCCATGGGTACATGGTCTTGAGTTTGGGAGCAGGTCTATCATTCAGCTGGTGGGTTGATGATGCCCTGAAGGCTCTGGAAGGACCCAGGGTTGTTGGGACTATGGCTTATCCATGGAGATGAGCCCCTGGGGCATCCCAAACCCTGCCAGCTCCCATCATCATCTCAGAGGGGTGGGTGGAGAGATGGGACAGCAGCCCTGCCAGAAATGCTCATTTCCCACCTCGGAAGGCAAAGAATTCCAACTGCAGACCTGTAAATTCCACTTACAATGTGGCAGACACCATGAGACCTGAGTATATTTCATCAAGATTTGTAACCAATTTCATTTAACATCTTCTCTAATTCTCCTTGGTTCTGCTCTGGAGCTGGGGTAGGGGAGTCTGGGTGGCAGAGAAGGTGCTGGGTGAGGGCCCTTGGGAGCAGACCTGTTTCTTCCCATCCCAGTCTGCCAGCCGTGGACAGCCCCACAGACTTCTGGTGAGGCTTCTCTGAAGGGGGTGATGCAGTGGAGTGGGGGGCACCAGACCATCTGCTCTGGCTCCCTTGGAAGGCATCCTTCCTGGATCATGGATAGAAGAGGTAAGCCCCATGCTCCCCAGACTTGGAGGGACCCAAAGGCAAAGCATAGAGAGAGAGAGCAGGAGCGAGCCCAAGCGACCAGGAGGAGGACATCTGCATTCCAACTGTCCTGCTCTCCTTCAAGCTGAATTATTTACAGGAGCAAGAACGAATTCAGTTGTCTAATCATCTGATTTTGATGCCTGCTGGAGGGTGGCATAGTGAGCGGCTGGCCCACCCCACAGGTACCAGGGTTGGACATCTGCTCACACCACTGCCCACTCTACTGCCTCCTCTTCCCAACTCACTTCTGACCACCGTTCAAAACCAGGGGAAGGAGCGAATCTGGAGCCCTCTTGGGGAGGTGGCAAACTGGGTCATTGTGTCAGATGAGTGTCGTGTGGGCTGGGCTGTGGACCTGGGGCGAGAGCAGGTCCCTGGGGAGGAGCTCAGGGGTGGGCTGGGAGCTCACGGCTGAGAGGAGCCTTTAGGAGCTGGAGGAGCTGGAACGTGTGTGCTGGGAGTGGGGCCCTCAGTACACAACCTTCACGCCTGGCCTTACTCACATACTTCTTGAGGCTTCCTCCTGAGCTACATTGCCTTCATCCGATCACTCGCACTCTGGGTTCAGAGCAGGTCTTGGAGGGGTTGTCTCCCTCACCCACCCCCTGTTGCCTTGCCAAGTGTCTGCCACATACCAAGGTTCAATAATGTCTTGCTAGATTGATTTCAAGTTGTTGACACTGCCTTCTCCCCTCTGGCCTGACAGTCTGTTTCATATTCCTATGGGAAGCCCTCCAGGACTGGCCAAAGCAGTATCCAGGGGCAGGAAGACGGAGTACCATGGGAGTCAGTAGACTTGGGAGTGAACCCTTTCAGAATGGTGTGGTGAAGCTTGGGATGAAGTAAGGCCAGTGCTGTAGGAGGAAAAGGGTGGGGCAGCTGCTGCAACAGAAGGGGTCCCAGCACAGGGAGGCATGAGTTCAGTCTTAGAGGATGAATAAGAGTCAGCCACCTGGACTCTGGTCTGAGGTTCTGCTCTCCTGAAGGCCTAGGGCTTCTTCCCCAGGGGCCCCACCTCCAGGATGCCCACCTTGATGATGTCTTCATTGTCTGACTCGCATTCCACTAGGGCAGAGACGTCTAGGACGAGGCCATTCACCTCAATGGCAATGACCTTGACAGGGATGGCCACTGTCCTGCCAGTCAGAATGGCCGTGTTGATGATCTCTGTGTCCTGCAGGGAGGAGAAGCAGGGAGGGGGGCTCTGCTTGTGGTCCTCTTCTGTCCTGGGACACACTAGCCAAGGCCCTGGCTCCTGGACACCCCCCCCGCCACCCACTCCTCAGATGCACATCCTTCCAGTGGGGACACTTGCACACGTGTGCAGGGATAGGCAACCACCCCGCCTCACGCTCCTTGACAGATGGTCTGCTCACTTGGGCTTTTGCAGGAACCTCAGGGTCCGCCTCACTGTGCTGCCAGGCAACAACCCTTCCCCGGGCCCCGGCCATCTCCTCTTAAACAGCTTCCAGGCTCCTCAGGACTCACATAGTAACATCTAACGCATGCCCCTGGCCATTCAAGCTGCCCTGGGCTGGGCCCAGACAATCATTCCAGCCCTACCACTCCATGACGCTCTTTCTAAATCTATAGTTCTTTTGAACAAACTACTCATATTCTCACTACTGTACCTTTGCCCAAGTAATGTCCTGCCTAGGACATACTGTGCATCTCTGGGAGCCCTCCCTCCCAGGTGACCTCCAAGACTCAACTGCATTGCTACTTCTTCCTGCAAACTTCCCATCAGTGGTCCCTCCATGGTGACATCTCCCACCTCTGCCCCCATGAGCATCTGCTGTCCTCATGGCCCCACAAATATAACACACATGCACACACCTTCTCACACAGGCATACCTGGGCGTGGCAGGAAGTCTCACATATACACACATGTCAATTTGTACATATACTCAGTGGTTCACATTCTTGTCACACAAATGTGCATGCATGCATAAACCCAGACATGTTCTGGGCCAGTCACCTGCCTGCTCACCATGGCCAGGGGTAGAATGGCTTGCACATCCCGCTGAATGACCGTCAGCTCAGTGACTGCCCGCTCCAGGTCAGGCAGGGCGCTGTGGCCACGGTAGTCAATGTACCACATGATCCTCCGCTTGACCGACTGGCTGGTGAAGTTCTCCATTTCAAAGTCCAGCTGCAGGATCTCCAAGGGGCCCTGGCCCTCCCTGCCAGGGGATGGGAGGGAAGGAGAGCAGAGGATGAAGGGCTGGGAGTGGCCCAGGAGCTCAGAAACCCTCAATGGGGACCCCACCCCTCCCCGGGAGCTACCTGATGGGGGCCCTGTGAGCCTTCTCCAGCCCATCTGAGGTGCTCCAGCCCCAGGATGCCACTGAGGGGCCTGGACCTCAGAGACCCCAGTGGCCAAGCCCCAGCCCTCCCCAAGTCCAGTCTCTTCCTTCAAAGAGTCCCCACCCCTCTCAGATGGCTGCTCTGCAAAGAGGTGGGTAGATGCACCAACTCCGGCTCACCAGGGGGGCAGGGGTGTGCCTTGAGCCCAGGTCACATCCACGGTGGCTGTTGAGTGCTTTGCCCCAGTCAGCAGCTCCGAGGTCACATGCCACTGGCCACTGCGTGACTTGGTACCTAAAAGGGTCACACCCTTCTTGGCCTTTACCCTGGGACAAAGTGGGAGGAAGAAGAGGGAGAGGGTCAGGCTACAGCCCAAAGCTGCCCACCTGGCCACCATCACTAGGCTGTACTGGGGGAAAGGGAACAGATAAGCTAAGTTACTCTGAGTCCTGGAAGTTTCAGATGAATGTTTCAGATGAATTTGGGGAATCTGGTATCACACAGCCGAAACTGACCCTCGGTGAAAGCTGCAATCCCTTCTACCATATCCCTGCCAAGTCTTTGCCTCATCTCTACCGGCACACCTTAGTGACAGGACTCACTACTTCTGCACACATCTCATTCCTTTTTCAGAAAGCCCATGAAAACTAGAAAGATCTTCCCTGGATGTAGTTGAGCTAAAACAGCCACAGGTTCTGCTGGGCAACAGAGAACAATTCCCCTCCATCTTAACTGTAGTAGTTCTTCAAAAAGCTGGCGAGGTGAGTAGGTGTTCTCTGAGTCTTCTTTCCTTCAGTTCCTCCAACTGTTTGTTGCCATGGTTCTGAATCACCTCACAGCCAGTCACGCTCCTCTGGACACTAAATGTGAAGTGTCCCGTACTAAATACGACACTTCAGCTGCACCCCAATGAACATTGGCTAAAGTGAGGTGATTGCCACCTCTCTAATTCTGCAAGTTCTACTCCTGTTAATGCAGCCCAAGATCTCTGATGACTGATTTAACTTATGTTCACATTCAGGTATCAATCACTGAATCAGGCATGACTCTTTCCAACAATATTTAAACTTGAAGGTAGGACACTGAGGAGACAGGGAAATACTAGAAGCTGCAGGCTAAAGGTGATGTTTCAGGTCCCATGCATAGTGCCTGGGGGTGGGGAAGCATTTTGGTGGGTGTCCTCAGAGTCACACAACATAACTCAAACCATAGATTCCTAGTGTGAAATATTATCATGTTTTGGGGGGATGTGATACAATCAAAGGCATTTTTGAGTTTGCAAACTGTGTCCTTTTCAAGGTATAGAAAGATAGAAAGAACTGGGAAACCTGAAAATTTTTCTCCCAACTCTAGGACTGGAGCAAATGTCCCTAAACACACACACACACACACACACACACACACACACACACACACTTCTATTGGCTCCCAGCCAAGAGGCTGCTCTCTGGTCCCCATTTCTCTTCCTTGGCCTCAGTCTCCTTGTCTGTAAAATGTCTAAGGTCCCTTCTAGTCCCAGTTCTATGATTCTGGACATCTATGATTGTGAAACTGATATTTCCTCTTTACCATGATGCCATTTCTATGAGATCCAGAAATAGGAGCAGGAATGTTTGTTGCCATTAGACAGATAAGAGCACTGTAGCTCCAATAAGCGAGGTATCTTCCTGAGGTTGCTCAAGTACTAAATGACAGACCCAGGATTAGGATGCTGCACAGGGATACAGCTGGGAGGTCCCCCCTCCCACCCACCCACAAGGAGTCAGGTATGCATTTGATCTTGGAAGGGAAACCAGATCACCACCCATCTTCCCTACTACCTGAGTGTAAAGTGCTCCACGCTGGGGCTGGAGGGCGAGGAGGAGTTGGGGGCCAGATAGAGGAGGATGCTGAGCACTTCCCCGGGCTTGAGGGGCCGGTCTGGCAAGCGGATCATCAGGTTGCTGTCCAGCCTGTGCTCCTGCAGGGTCCTCCTGGGGGGCGGGCGGAACAGGCTGATGCTCCCGATGCGCAGCAGGGGGTGCTGGGTAGGGCTCTCCGCCCGGGCCCCCACCCCGGGCCCGGCCCCACGGCGGGAGCCCCCGCAGCCCCCCGACGCATCGGGGGCGTGGAGCGTGTAGTAGAGCTCGGCCTGCTGGCTCTCCCCTGTCGCCTCGGGCTCCAGCCCGTCCGGGGACTTGCGGCGGGCCGCGGGCGGCGCAGCCGGGGCTGGGGGCCCGAACCAGGCCAGGGGCAGCTCCGCCCGCACGAGACAAGTGGCCAGGCCCCCGCTGAGGCGGCAGGAGCTCTTGACTTCCCGGGCATCCCGGAAGGCGTGCAGGCGGACACAGGGTAGCCGCTCGGTGACGCCGAAGTCGTCCCAGTCCCGGCCGGCCACGTAGAACAGCACCTGGGCCACGGGCTGCGAGGCGGGCACGCGCGAGCGGACAATGAAGGCCCGCACCTTCCAGTTCACCGTCAGGCGCTCGGGGATGTCCAGGGTGCTGGAAGGCTGCAGGAGCTCCCGCGCCACCACCTGGCTGGTGCTGAAAGGCCCCAGCGAGACGTTGAGGACCGGCAGCTCCTTGGTCTGGAACACCACGAAGGGCTCGGAGCGCTGCAGGGAGCTGTTGGCGACCGCGGGTGACGGGGGCCGCGCCTCCCGCAGGAAGAAGGCCAGCCGCGTGTGCGACAGGCGGTAGCTGACCGGCAGCACCGGGCTGGCGTGCGCTCCCGGCGGGCTGGGGCTGGCCGGGTGGGAGCGGCCAGAGGCTGGGGACAGACAGAGGAAAGAGGCCCAGGGCGGTCAGGAGAGGGCACGCTGGGACCCCCGGGTGCTCCCAGCTTCGTCTCGCCCACCCCACAGAGGGCTGCCCACTCTTCTAACTGGGCAGGTTCAGCCTGGCTGTCCATCCTCCGGTGGGCCCGTAGCCTGGCTCAGGCCTGGCTCCCCGAGCTCCAAGCCTGGCACCCCCTTTGCTTGTATGTGAATTACCCTCTCAGCCACCGCTTCATTTATTTACCTGCGGCATAGGGGTAAAGCTAATACCATCGCAAAACCTTGTGAACCTTCAGGAGGTTCTATCCCCAGCGTCCTCACTTGTAAAACAAGTATAAAAATTGTTTCTGCCTCAAAGTGCCGTTGTGAGGACTTTCAAAGTCGTGCAAATAAAGGACTGAGTGGACTCTGGTGCTGAAAAGAGTCCCTGTGATCCCTGTGTAACCTGCACTGGGCTCCGTGTGGGACAGGCGTTAGTGTATTTCATCCTCAGATCAATCCTTTGAGGTATGTATTATTATGATCTCCCTCCACGCAACCAGTTTCTATCAGTAACTTCCTTTCTGAGTGCCAATTCTAACATCTTACAGATAAATGAACTAAGGTGCAAGACACTTAAATAATTTAACCAAGTTACATGGGCAAAGGGGCCAGCAGTGGGACTCGAACCTGGGGTCCCCTGGCTCTCAAACCCAAGCTCCTTAGTATTGCACCTGCTGTCTCAGCTGGTGTAGGGTCCCCAGGGATCCAGCTGTCTCCCTTCTCCCTTTGGCCACAGACTATATAAGCAGGAAATTTTATTCTCAGTCTCGCACACCTAAACATGGGCCTCCTTCCTCCTCTTAACTCCCTCTCCCCACCTACCAAGGAGGCTGCCAACTTGCGGCAATTCCACCTCGGGCTGCCCCTTGCCCTCCCTCCCTGCTCCCATTCTGGCCTTATTCCTGTTGCTATGACGACATACCACTGGCCAGCAAGGTTTCCCCTCCTCCCTGGCATTCTCCTCCCCGCCACAGCAGCCAGAGTGTTTTCTCTCCTGGACACAAATCAGACACTGTTGCCCCCCTCACTCCCAGCTCAAAACTTGTTGGACACTATCAAGGAACAGGAAGGACCCAAGTGGAGGCTTGAGGTTTGAAATCTTATTTTGGGTATCATGGAATACTATGCAGCCATAAAAAAGGATGAGTTTGTGTCCTTTGTAGGGACATGGATGCAGCTGGAAACCATCATTCTCAGCAAACTATTGCAAGAACAGAAAACCAAACACCGCATGTTCTCACTCATAGGTGGGAACTGAATAATGAGATCACTTGGACTCGGGAAGGGGAACATCACACACCGGGGCCTATCATGGGGAGAGAGGAGGCGGGAGGGATTGCACTGGGAGTTATACCTGATGTAAATTTGATGAGTTGATGGGTGCAGCACGCCAACATGGCACAAGTATACATATGTAACAAACCTGCACGTTATGCACATGTACCCTACAACTTAAAGTATAATAATTAAAAAAAAAAAAAGAAATCTTATTTTGGATCTCCTCAAGAACCTCCTGAGTCACATTCCTCAACTGTAAAATCAGGACAATGATAACAGTAATGCTGGTCTCGCAGGAGGCTGTGTTGTCATTTGTTTTGTTTCTGAGAATCAAATAAGAAAGCACTCTATAAATTGTGCAACACAATGCAAATGTGTATATATCAAAGAAGCTCTCCCATCTGCTTACAAAATAAAACCCAAACTCACTTTTGTACCTGAACGTGACATTCAGGGCCCCCTACACAAAGCATCAGGATCCTTTTTCTCCTAGGACTCCTCCTCCCAATACCCTGCTGGTGGCTTAACTGGACAACTCACTGACCTTCACACTCACGGATGCTGCCTCATCTCCCCTCCTTTGCTCATGCTGTACCCTCTGCATTAGATTCTCTCCTTTCTTATTTGTGCACATCCAAATCTGAATCTTCCTCCAGGGTCCAGCTTCAATGCCACCTCCTCCGTGAAGCCCTCCAAGATGTGCCCTCAACTCCTGGGAGTTTCCTCAGAGCTTTGTCCTTCTCTGAGGGGACCTCCCATCCTGCCTTGTGTAGGAGTTGTTACCTGCCTGGCCTTGCACCAAGAAAGCCTTCAACAAATCATGGCTGATCTACACTGAGTGATCTGCAGAGACCTACGTCCCAAAGAGGAGACTCCTAGTCAGTACTAGACATTACTTGCAGTTTATGCATATTTATCATTTTACCACTGTCAATTAAACCTTGGCAGTTTCACAAACTTTCACATCCAGTTCCTCGCAAAAGCAGTGAACTAAAAATTCCCTGCTCTTGAGGCTCTGGTCTCAATATCCTTTAAAACAAAATCTGCAGTAATCTTCCTCGTTCAAAAAATAAGGCAACAGGCTTGGGGTATGACAAAGGCCGTTGGGGTCAGTTGTTTCAAGAGGCGTGGCACGTGCTCTCACCACTTCTCCTGTGGCGTGCTCGGGAGGACCTGAGTAGCCCTTAGGACCAAGTGGGGAAATCATTGGCAAGAAATGCTGGGAACTGATGGTGGGGTGGGGGTGTGCAGCAGAGTCCAAATGAGGACAGGAAGTTGTTTGCAGAGATGGGGAGAGCCTTTCTGGCTGGTGCCTGAGGTCTCATAATGTGTCCCTGCAGCCTGGGGAATGCTGGCCCCGAGGCTGACTGTGGAAATGCAGGATCCCACATTTGGACCCTGCTTTGGAAGCAGCAGCAAGCAGGCGAACCAACCAGCTTTGGGACTCAAGTGCAAGGCCTCTCTCTGCCACAGACTCACTGTGCAAGTTGCTTTCCATTTTGAGCCTCAGTTTCCACCTCTAAAGTTGCAGTGGTGACATCAGTCCCTCCCCCTCGCAGGGACATTGAGAGTAGCTGAAAGACGAAGAACAGGACATCCTCTGGGACCTGCAGAGCCACTCAGGGCAGGGGCACTGCTGCATGTATGGGGAGGTACAGGGCCTTTGAGTGCTGGGGTCAAGGTGGGGCCCCACGCTCCTCCCTCTAGGCTGGGAGAAGTGCAGCTGCGGTCAGTGAGCTCTCAGTGCTCACTATCCAGGCTGCAGAGGTACAAGGTGGTGGGGGGGACTAGCCCTGCCTTTGTTATCCATCCCCTGGAGACCCCAGAGCTGCTAAGTGGCACTTAGTCCCCTTTGCCCTCTCTTACTGTTCCAACTTCACGACTGACCATCTGGATTCCTTGGAGGCACAGCAGAGGCAGAGATCACCAGATGGGCACTGGACTCAGAGGGGCATGAAGGAAGGGATTGGGGAAGTGTGACTGCATCCCTCACCTGAATCCCCTCACCCCGCTGGGGGAGGAGCTGGTCTAGCAAAACCAGGATCCTGGATCATCCAAACCATCTGCTGTTCTTGGAATATACTGAGAAAATATTTCTACCCCAGGGCCTTTGCATTGCCGTTCCTCCTGCCTTGAATTTTCTCCACTTGATATTCACATGTTTCTCTCCCCCTCTCTTTTTTTTTTCTCTCTCTCATCAATCTTTGTTTAGGGACATCTTCCTGATCATTTATCCAAAGTAGCGCTGTCTTTCCCCCATCCGTGCCGCTGATCTCTCTCTATCCCTTTTCCTATTTCATTTTCTTCATGGCACTTACCACCACTTAACTCTATATTATATGCATGTGTCTGTTTCTGCCAACTAGAAATTAAGTTCCATGGGGGCACAGACAGGGCTTTGCTTCCTGCTCTATTTTAGCGCTTACAACATGGCCTGGCACATAGCAGGCCCTCAATACATTTTTGTTGAAAGAATGAAATTCTCTGAATGAACAGCCCAGCACTGACTGGGATGCTGTGGGGGTAATGAGTTCCTTGTCAATGGGGCATCCAAGAGGAGACTGGGTGGCCACTGAGGGGAGGGCTCCTGGCACCAGGCCTAGGGGCTCTGGACCCTGTTAGCAACCTTGCAGATAAGAAAGCTGAGTTTCTGGAAGGGGAAGTAACCTGTATCAAGAAAACAGCTGGCATTCAGAAGAGGGAGCCAAAAAGCTGACATTAGGGCATTGCAGTTTTTATAGGTATATCACTGTGGCCCGCAACAGCCTCTCCCATCACCACCATGAACCACTCCATCCTTCTGGGGCCTTATAGTCTCCTTAGCGGTGGAGCAGGGTGGGTCTCTGAGATGCTAGCACTAATCTCTGCCCTCCCACTCACCTATTCTGGAGCTTACAGGATCCTGCTTGATCTCTCTGGACCTCAGTTTTCCCTGGGAGGTGGGGAAGGGCCTTGAAGCCTTCTGGTGTGGCTGGAGAGGGAGGAGGTAAGACTGGTGGAATGAATAGATACACGGTCCGTCAAGTTTTCAGAGACACTAAGTGTGTGCTTGAGTGTACACACATATGTGTGCTAACCCGCACTCTGGCCTGCCTCTCGGCACAGAGCTCTGACCGCCAGACATCATGGAGCATGGCATGGGAGGAAAAGCTACTGGAAGGTTCCTTGAAGGAAGACAGATGTGGGGTGGGGAGAAGGGAGGCTGATCAACTTAGAGACTGAGGTCAGGCCAGGACTGGAGGTGGAAGAGGGGAGAGATCGGGGTGGAAGGCACTGCGTGGACCCACCTTGGACGCACAGCACTAAGGAGTGCCCACACCCTCCAGACTGACCTGGGAGGACACACACACACACACACACACACACACACACCCGCTGGCACCTGTCTGCCCCTCACCTCCACAGCAGGCTGCCCATAACAGTTCCGTGAGCCTGGTTCTGAACCCTGGCCCCACTGTGCCCCCAGGCTGCACTGCAGCTCTGTTTTGACCCCAGTTTGCCCTGCAGACCAGTTTGTCTGCTGCCTTCCTGTTGATGGCCTGGGCTCTGACTTGGTCTTCAGGCATTTGGGTCTGGCCTTAGGACCCTCTCCCTTGCTGCCATCTCCTGAGAAAAGGGGCTTCTCCATGTCTTCTCTGACTTATGGTGGGGTGTTATGGGCTGAACTGTGCCCTGCCCTTGAAATCTTAACCCTCAGTATCTCAAAATATGACAGTATTTGGAGACAGGGTCCTTAAAGAGGCTACTAGGGTTTAAATTAAGCTGTGAAGGTGGGTCCTCATCCAAGATGACCAGTGTCCTTATAAGAAGAGGTGAGGATGTAGACACACACAGAGCGATGTTGTGAAGACACAGGGAGAAGGCAGCCGTCTATGGGCCAGGAAGACAGCCCTCACCAGAAACCAATCCTGCTGACGCCTTGACCCCAGACTTCCAGCCTCTAGAACGGTGAGAAAATAAATTTCTGTTAAGCCACCCAGCCTGTGGAACTTTGTCACGGCAGCCCTAGCAAACTGATACATGAGGATTGACTATTTCTGCCCCTCCTAGCCTCAGATTCCCCCAGTAAGATGGAGAGACACCATACGGCGGGGGGCAGCGGGGGGGGGGGGTGGGGGGGGAAGACAGGCTGGAATCATCCAGCTTTTGCACATGGGGATAACAATGATGCCTGAGGTATTCTGAGTTCTCTCCAGCATCCTCGACCCCTGCCAGACTGTGCCTAGCGAGAGACCCTTTCCATGTGAGCTGGACCAGCCCTGTTCTTCTCATAACCTAAAGAGACAAATACATCAATAGTGGCTTCACCCTCCCGGCAGGAGGGTATCTGACCCAACAGGACCCAAGAGAAGACTTGCGCGTGGGAGGATGTGGGGGTTCCCTCATCCTTCCATGCCCAGCTCAAGCATCATCTCCTCCCTGAAGCTTTCTCTGATATCTCTCACAGCCACCATCCTAGGCAGACAGCCCCTCCTCCTCTCTGCTACTGCTCTGCTCTGGCCAGCTCTGACTCTGACAGATCAGGAGGAGCCTGGCCTTGGTATGAGTGAAACGCACGTGATGTGGGAACTCTCTCATTAGTCACTTCTCTGATTGCTCCCCTAGGGCCATGAGACACTGGCTCCTGCGTCCCTGTGCCTGCACAGAGGTCTCTCAAGCCGTCTCCACCATTAGATGGCACATAGTTTTTTTCATACCTCTGCCTATCCAACTGAACTGGGATATGGGTGGACATTGGGGCTGGACCAGCTTTGCATAGTACAAGGTCAGCTGGCTGAAGGAGAGGTGATGACTTGGGCCGGGTGGGCCCTGAACACTGCCCTCCCTAACCACCAGGACAGGGCCTCTATGTATAATACTACTGAAC